AGGAAATACCCCAAGTCAGTGAAACAAAGTACCATCAATTCTAGTAACTTTTAGTAGGTGTATTCTTAAAAACTCATTTTGATGTCACTTTGTGACGTTTTATATTTTTTAATATTATCAACTAATGGTGTATTGTATCAAAAATTAAAATATTTAAATAAAAATAATTTATTAGAAAATAAAGATGTGATTTGGGTGTAATTACGTAGAAATTAATTTAAAATTTGACAACTTAAACATAACAACAATTAAAAATAAGTTTTATTAAAGATATGCTTTTTTGATAATTTTTTGTTTCAATCAATTTTTATAAGAGTAAGAGAGAAGGGTTGCTGACTTGGGGGTATTGCATCAACTATATTTGGCAAATACTTTACAGCATCAAATTTTATAAAACTCGATGCTGTAACTTTATAGTCAGTAAAAAACTAATATATATATAAATTAGTTTTTTTACTGTCTAGTTGTATGGCAAATACTATAGTATACATTCCCATTTTAAAATTGGTACATTAACTTATGAATCTGTAGTTGCTATAATTATAATGTTAAATTGAAAAATTGGCTTTGTGATTAATATTTATCATATTATATTAAATGTTATTTTCAAATTGTAAGGGTTTTGTAACATGTTTGCCGTGGTTGAATTCGATACAAAGGAATGTGACGTGGCACCCTTACTTTGGGTTCATGAGGACAACAAAAAGTGTTATTGGCCTAGAAAAAATAGCGAACATCACACAAAAACAAAAACTGTGCCAAAATTATCGTGGCCATCCCATAACCTAAAAAAGATACATGGCACATACGGTAAGATTTTATATATTTTTTATTCTTTATTTTTTTTTTGGAAAAAAGTGGGTTTGTTTTTTTTTGATTTCACCTTTTTTTGTTAATTTTAAAATTCTTAAAACAAAGGAATAATTAATTCTCATTTTGTTTTATTAATTACATCTCATTTAAAACATCTTTCTTATAGAATTATTAGAAGATGCCAAGGTTATGCTACAAAACATTATAGAAGCAAGTGAAAGCGAATCAGGGGCTGGAGTTCCCCCTTTAACAAGAAAAAATAATTTTTATGAATTAGAAAACGACCTTCAGAGTGATAAATCCGAAATTGGTAATAGATCAGAAATGCGTGATAGATCAAAATCGCCTGATAGATCAGATACGCCTCTTGGTGCATTACCTAGTTCATATTCATCTACGCGTGGAAGATCAATATCGCGCGTTAGATCAGAATCTCGTGATAGATCACAAACTCGTGATAGATCACAAACTCGTGATAGATCACAAAATCGTGATACATCAGAAACGCATGATAGATCAGATACGCCTCTTGGTGCATTATCTTCTCCTTCATATTCTGCTACACTAACTAGCGCATCGTCATTGAGCACATCAGTTGCTCTGAATGAAGGGGTTACAGAAAGAATTCTTCAAACCATGCTATCTATCTCGGAACAGGTGGCACAAAATACTTTAAGAAACCAGCAAATTCTTAGAATTTTAAATTCTAATGAATGTGCAGTTTTAAAAAAACCAGACAATTTTCCAATACTTCCATGTAACAAAAAAACAATAAAACAGTTAGAAAAATGTTTACGAGAAGAAGATGGAGCTTTGAATTACTTTGTAAGTATAACTTCTTATTTAAAATTTGTTTTATATCATTCAGGCCAATTCACTAACATAAGTTGTTAACGTTAGCCACTAGTAAATTGGCCTGATTGTTAAAATGGCTTCTGTTTTTTTTTTCAAAAAATCTATTTTTTTGTGTTAAAATTAACAATAAAAAAATATTTATAAAATCATAAACATGACACATGCATGTAAATATTTATTTTTATTAAAATTAATCAAAGACAAAAAATTTTATTTTAGGGCCCACTCTAATCTTTTTTATTATCGCACGTTATTTTTGATGTAGTGAAATAACCCTGTTTTGGAAAATTTTTAATATGTAGCTCTTAATAAAAAAATATTTACGTTTAAGTATTTTAAAATTTACTTTTTTTAATTTTTTTTTTAAATTTTCTTTAGAAACAACGTTTAAGCACTCTAGGAGGAACAACAGTTCGACAAATGGTAGCTAACATGATGAAATATATAATGACAAACAAATTAGGAAAAAAGTTCAATTGGGCCGGGCACAATGGTAAAAAACAATTTAAAGACACAAAATGTGCTGAGGCCATTCAAGGTAAATTTTTGTAAATAATTAACATTTTAATTCATTCACAATCCATATTCTTTAAAGGAGGCTATGTTTTCGTTTCAATGCAGTATTTGTCAATAATGTATTGTTTAAGAATTTTTTCATTGTTTTTTCTAACCACCCTTAAGGAATTTAGATTTACTTTATTACAAGAGTGTTTATTTATTTTTGCTTTTATTCAAAAGTATTTTAAATGAAATAATTTGAAAATTAAGTCAAGTTTTTTTAAGATGCTGTATTCATGGCCTTTGAAGTAGAAAAACCGACAGACTTAAATGTGACAAACATTATTAGAGGGATCCAAGACTGGCTAAGATTAGCCCCGCAACGCTACAATTATAACAATAAAAAATAATTATATACCTATAGTACCTATTTAGTAATTATATTTAAAAGTTTTTCTGAACTTTTTGGTACAAATTCGTACAAATATGTTTTTGTTTTTATTTTTTTGAAATATATTTAATATTTATGTTTATTTTATTTTGCAGTTCAGAAAACTTTAAGATAATATTATTTTTTTATCAAGTAGGTACCTATTTTTTGATGTTTTTTTATATTATTCTAGGAGCCAAAGAGTTTAAATTTGTCAAACCACTAGGCGAATTGGTTTGATGAAAGTTCCTAACCAAACAAGCAATTTTTGACTCTTGTGAATAAGGCCTTTAAGGCCTGCAATTCATAGTGTGACACTTTAAAAAATAAAACGTTTTCCATGATAAACAAACCGCTAATGCTTTCGGTTTGACTTTAATTCTAGGTGAAAGGATTGTATTAATTCAGTTAGCGAAAGTTTTCCGATTCCCAAAAAATAATCAAACTGTTTAAAGTTTTTTGTGCAATTTAATTTCTTGCCGACTTAATTCATACAACCTAGAATTAAAGTCAAACCGAAGGTATTAGCGATTTGATTATGATGAAAAACGTTTTATTTTTCAAAAGGTGGCACTATGAACTGCCGGTCCTAAAGGCCATATTCACAAGAGTCAAAAAATGCTTTTATGTATAAGTATTTTCATCAAACAACTTCGGTTTTGTTTTACTTTTTTTGCACACTATAGCGCCTAGCCGCCTAGAATATAAACAATTTTTTTAAACTTTTTAGTACAAATTTGTACAAATATGTTTTTATTTTTTAAAATGTATTAAATATTTATGTGATAATAAATCATTTTTTTGTTTTATAAGTAAATTGTTCTTTTTTGTTTATTTTCACCTCTCACAATAAACCTATATCTATTTTAAAAAATATTTATTCAGTTTTTTTTTTGTAAAATAATACGTTTTTTTAGGATATTTAATCGAGGCCACAATATATTGTTTTTAAGGTAACTTTATTAGCCATATTTTTTAGAAGATAAAACTAAGTGTTTCATACAAATTAAAAACTATTTGTTAATTTTTATAACAGATAAAGGGTAAATTTGTATTCAACTTTTTAAATTATCTGCTTATTATATTACCATTGATTATGGGGTGTCTTCACTCAACGATATTACTTTATTACAAATTAATATAATATATTAGCATATTGTCAACTATTAATTATCTGTTATAAAAGTTAACTAAGATTTTTTTAAAGTTATATATAAAAAATTATTGCAAATATATGAAGCACCTATTTTATCTTTTAGGAAATAAAGCTAAAAAAGCTAATTAAAAACAAAATATTGTGGCCTCTAATAAATATCTTAATAAAACATAATAATATGATAGATATACATTTTATGGTTACAAATAGATGTTTTTAAATAATATATTAAAAGATATACAAAGGATATATTTTAAACTACGTCTTTAAGAAAGCTATTAAGTATGTAGGTAAGTATCTATACTGTATCATTTTATTTATATCTTTAAATAGATATTTTTTATTACTATATTAAAAGAGATTTAAACAACGTATTTTTAACCACGCCATTTAGATGTCAATTTTGCTATGTTAAAAGCTAGTCCATGCAATAACGTTTTTTTTACATAAAAAGTTTTATCAATATTAGTTGTCTTTTTACTAAAATAAATAAAACATTTTATTTAGACATTTAAACTGCTTCTAAAATTATTATCTTATTTCAATCTAAAAAAATGATGAATATTATCAAATGTTTTTTAGACATAAAAAATAGTCGTAGTATAACCATGATCTATTAACTATAAAATAATAGATGTATATTTTATATAAAAATATGGATAAAAATAAGGCGTTAAGTATTTAAATGTGATATATAGTTAAGCATATATAAAACTTATTTTGATATACATTTATAAGACTTCTTTTAATACATTATTAAAATTATGTCTACCTATATATGTTTTATTGACCTAGTTTAAAATTATTTATTATACGTGTATTAGACGGACACTTCGATGTCTAAATCATGTCGCTCAAATTGGCCAATACTACCATCCTTAGACCATCGCAAGCACGTCTATTAAACGTCGTATAAACGTACCAGTGTTACTTGGGTATTGTAGATAGGACTTTTTTGCTTTGCGCGGCATTATAATATTCACAATAAACAAATGATAAACTTACAATCCACACAATTGTGAATAAACTGACAAGCGTCGACAATTTCCTCCACAAAACTAAATTTCGTATTTGATATATGAAAGAAAAATCCCAAAAATATCCCTAGAAATATCACCAGACATTTAAAAAGGACCGAAATTTGTAGAAGGTCGTCGAGTGATCCGCATTTAACATTCAGTGTCCGTAACCAAATACTAGTAATAATATATCTTTATATACTCATAAAATAAACTCAATAAAACTTACTGTGTTGTCACAAAAAGACTGTAGCAAGGTGTGCATTAGCGTCCCAGTTATTTGTTGGTGTTCCAGTGACATTATCTCCGACACACTGTTGTATCCTAGCAGGGCCGCCACGTTCATCTGATCATCAAGAAGACTGCTTAAAATGATGTCAAATAGCATATGTTGTCCGGGTGACAATTTGGCACCACTGGACAAGTTCTCATAGAGAAACTCAACGCGTTCGTGTAGTTGAGGTAACAACAAGGGTGCACCTATATTTAAGAGTTCCTTTGTTGCCACACAGATTTCCTCGGGAGCTTCAATGTCGACCAACCTATAAAATATATAGTATACATTTTTTGTAACTATGGAGGCTACCAGTGGTTAATTTGTTCACTATTTTATCATTATTAATTTTATGGGAAATTCAATATTTACCTAAATAAAACACTTCTGAAAGAGTTGGCATGTTTGGTCAGAACACTACTGTTTAAGTTGCCGCTGACACACAAACTTAAATGCGTTGAAAGCAACTTTAAACTTAATAAAACAAATCTTTGATGTTCTGCATGGGTGTTGAATGGAGAAGGGGGAATATCACATCTAAAGGAGTTGGTATACTTTTCCAAAAATGTTTTCAAAAAGTCAAATGTTTTTTCATGTAAATCTAAACAGAACGGTCTGTGTTTGGTAACTTGATGATTTTCTGCAGGAATAGAAGTCCATGCGATTGAATGAGATGTGCCTAAAATAATTAAAAAAACTTCAAAACTAATTAAAAAACTGTCAATTGGCAAACATTCTAACAAAGTTTAGACAGCCTTACAAAATGTTGCAACAACAAACAGAGGTCAACAATTTAAATTTAAGGGACCCTAAATAAAAAAAATATAAATACATTTTTTGGTTTAAAAAAAATAATAATTTAAACATTACCTGCACTAATCTGCCTAATATTGATGCCAGTAAGTCCAACCACTTTAAAAGGTCTAACAACTGGGCTAGTTGTGTGTCCCAAACCACATTGCCCCATACTGTTGGTGCCCCAAGCAAAAACAACATGCTCATCAGTCAAAGTCAAACAATGTGTGTCTCCTACTGATATTTCAACCACTCGGTGCGGCATTATATCAACTAATTGGGGATGCAGATAAATGGCGTCCGCTGAACCCAGGCCAAGAATAGGACCGCTGCCCCATGTATAAACCTAAGTAATTAAACGGGTTTAAGGCCAAAATCTATATAAAATGCTTATATACAGTGTATATTAATTTAATACTATTAAACCGAATAAATCCCACCTACTCTCATGCACCAAGAAGTGGCGGGGAGTGGTTGCTTTACGAGAGTCTAGTACAACCAGCGTTGCCAGTGCTTTTGTACTGAAATCAGTACTTTACAAGGTTTGTCAGTACGTCAGTGGTACTTTCATAGTTTCAGTACGTTTTGCAAAATTTCCTTCCGAACAAAAAGTTAAAAAAGCCGAGTACGAGTACTAACATTAAATATGTACCTATATACATATATTTAATGTTAGTACCTACTCGTACAATATAATCAAAATATTGAAAACCGTACCTTTTCAATAAAATCAGTACGTTTTTTAATTACCAATCAGTAAAGAATTCTTTCATGGTCTGGCAACACTGAGTACAACTCGCGATTGTCTTAGTTACAAATTAAGGTATTTTCTCAAACAAAATGGAAAAATACCAAATTACACTGGTCAATCGTATCGTCAAATACAAAATTTATTTTAAAATGTTTTAAAATAGTGTAGCACAGTGACGCACCGAAACTTAAGGCGATCGGTCGCTTGAGCAAGGGCTCCCATAACGCTCTCTTACTTTCATAGTAAAGTTGTAAAAAAAAAACAAAAAATAATAACGATTCTACACGTGATACCAGATCCAAGTGCAAAAATAGTGCAAACTGCGCGTGGTACCTCCTTCTGGATTAAGTCCTCAAGTATTTAACACGTTGACTGCGAAAGGTAATTTGATGATTTCAATTTTTATTGTGCACATGCCTCCGGTGGCATGTCACCTTCCTTAACGCTTGTGCGGCCCGTGTCTCCAGAGGCATGTTTACCATAGTATGTTAAGAGAGTCCTCCAGTAAGAAAGGTTAAATTTTTTAGTTGAATTTTTATTAAAATTTATTCTTCAAGTAGTAACCTACTTTCAGCTTTAATAGCACATGCCTCCGGGGGCTTGTTCAGCACACACAATATACCAAAAATTATTACCTATATATTTATAGTAGGTATATAGGTGTATAACTAAATTTTTTGAAGAAATAATTGGTGTAATTACCAAAAATCAATAAAAGATACTCGATTCGGCTAAAATACTCTCAAACGGCAACACTGGTGCAATGACGCCGGAGGCATGGGACGCCTCTGGGGGCATGTTACAATTTAGTAGTGACATCTTACGCTCCTTTTAAAATCAGAGGCAGCGGTAGAGGTAGCGGTATCACTTTCTGCAATTTATAGTTCAGAAAGTAGCGGTAGCGGTACTGGCGGCGCAAAAGGTTAAGTTTTCCTGAATTATTTTGGAGTGTTTTCTATGAAACATGGATTGGGAGGACAATGCTGTGCTTCTGGGCTATATGGCTTTGTGCGGAATATTATATAATAAAACTGCAATACAACATAATATGGAGTAGCGGTTGAGGTAAGAAAAGATGAAAGATGGTCATCTCTTGCCGCTACGTTCTTGTCTCTACTTCCCTTACCGCTACCTCTGACAACTGTAAATTGTTTCATATAATATTCAATGCCGAACTCGGCTACCGCTACCGCTGCCGCTGCCTATACCGTAAATTACCTTTAAAACTATTAATCCAGCTTTACGTTTAAATCGGTGTGGAACTTATTAATTTATCGCTTTAGCACATAGGGCATTTCCGCTTGACTTTGGGCTTTGGGCGACACGTGCCACAGTCAACGTGTTAATCTTGTTTCATAACTTTCATTTGTTCATAGCAAATTTTTCAGGACAGTTTAAAACAAAAAAATGGATAATAATATTATTAAAATAAAGTTATAAGGTTATATTAATTTGAACTTGCATTAGAAAATAAGTGCAATCATAAAATAGTACATTAAAGACCAGGCGGAGAAATCTATCAACAAATTTTATGAAAAGTTACTTTAGTTAAAATATCGACTTATCAAGTTACTCTGTATATTTAATAAAAGGTTTCTTACTTGTCCCTGAGAAGTGAGGGCTATTGAAAAGGTGGTGCCTGCGCAGACTTTGCGAACGATCATGCCGTGCAGCGCTTCGATGACTTTCGGCTTGTACACCATGGCGATTTCTCCGTGACCCAGCTTGCCATTGTCTCCGGACCCAAACGACCACACGGTCTTGCCGTCGTTCGACACGACCAGCGTGTGCGAGCTGCCGCACGCCACCATTCCGGCATCGTTGATTTCGGCCACGAGGGTTGGAGCATGTCGCGCCTTGCTGTCCCCGAGGCCCAGTCTTCCGTGGTCTCCTTCGCCCCATGTGTAAAGTTTGCCGTCATCGGTGATGGCAGCGCTGTGACGGTACCCTGTAATAGTCACTTACTTTGTTTTACCTGTCATTGATACCCATATTAGGGATCAACTAACAAGAAATAAGCAAATCCACCTTACGGCGGTCACCTTATTGGATTGATTTACTGTCCGTTGAGGCTAAGTTGAGCGGTCTTAGGAATGTCAAGCCGTCCATCATCTCTATGTTTAGGCACAATTAAATAAATGTATTTTGGTAGCCCCTCTGTACGAACAAACGGCAAGCTGCGGTACTGATAAATCATCTTCTTGTCACCAAAATCTCGCGACGATTCGATATTTAATTTAATCAACGGCCATATGATCCCCCGCCAAAGCGCTCAACTTAGCCTGAACGGACTGTATTTCAATCCCTCATAAGACGGCCACAGAATTCGTTCTTTTTCATCCGTTTGTATCGCCGCAATTCGAAACGTCTTGTCGAAAAACACAAAAACTGATGTGTTTGGTGGAAAACCGTCGTGTCGAATCGTTTTTTTATCACAAACATCAGTTTTTGATACGCTTCGTGACATTCCGAATCGCGGCGATAAGGAATAAAGGTGACAAGGTGAAAAGGAATAAAGTATCGCCGACGGTGGACGAGTGGTTAGTGCTGCTGACTACAAGCCGGAGGTCGTGGGTTCGAATCCCACCAGGGGTATGGCTGTTTATTTGTGTTTGTCCTATTGTGTAATAGTCCTTCGGAGGGGACTTTAAGCCCGCGGTCCGTTCCTACCCCTAACCCGCACAAGCCATTCAGTTGGCTTATGGGACTTCTTAAGAAGTAAGGGTGGAACTAAAAGAGCACTTTTGTATATAAACTTTTGTATGTGGCCGGCTTTGAGAGATATAAATAAATCAATCCAATAGAGCGGTTCGACACGAGTAAAGAATAATATTTTTCTATTTACCTTCTCCATAGTAACAGATGCATTATTGTACAGAAAAATGCCAAAGTGACACAAAAATGACTTAATTTATTTACTCAGGGAATTTTTTCAACAAATACCACTCAAGGTTCCATTGATCAGGACATTTTTTGGACTTTTAACTCAAACTTGGTGGTTTGTTAATTTGACTCTAAGAAATTTTTGAGTTTATTATATCGATGACTTTTTGCCAAAGTATCGCAAAAACCATAACTCAAGTTTCGAGAATTGAAAACATTTCTTGTTTTGAAGTCTGTTTTAAACTATATATATATAGCCTATAGGTTATATAACAAGAAAATAGTTTATAATTTTAGCTATTTACTTGTTAGAAAAACTATAGGCTATAATATATTATATTATACTATATATGTTTTCTTGCTTGTGATATTTTGGCAAAAAGTCATCGATATAATAAACGGAAATATATATTACTCGTGAATTCCACGAGTATTTTTCACGAGTACATTGAATTTGATTTGTAAGTACGAGTAATAAGTATTTCAAATGAAAAAAACTTATAGTATACGAGGGTTGCCTTTTATATTTTGGGAATGGCCGAACCTGCTGATGCTATCGTACAACAGATGTCTGTATCGTTAAGTTCGACCTTTTAGACGGTGTTCCTACTTAAAACGTTTTGACGTGCGGGCGCAATTAGTATCATTAACAGTCTTGAAAAATTAATGTCGGCCAAAAAAATGGAATTGACCCGTGAACATTTTCGTGCTATAATTTTTACAACTTTAAACGTAGATTATCCCAACAATAATGCATCGATGAACTTAATTTGACTTTTGGCGACAAAGTGCCATAAAAAACAAGTGAATATCGGTGGTGTTCCGAATTCAATCGTGGCCGTGGTTCGCTCACCGACGAATCAGTCGTTCTCGCAAAATACATTGATGCTGTGCGTGAACTGGTACTGCAAGATCGTCATGTGAGATATCGTGAGATTGGGTCATCCTTGGGCATTAGTGGGACCAGCATAGATTCAATATTAAATAAACATTTGGCCGTGAGAAAAAATTGTTACCGTTGGATCCCACATAATTTGACGATCGATCAAAAAAAGGCTCGTGTCTAGTGGTCAAAAGAAATGCTTAAAAAATACGATGGCGGTGCTTCAAAACATGTTCATGACATTGTAACAGGTGACGAATCATGGATCTAAGCGTATGAACCTGAAAGTAAACAGCAGTCGACTGTGTGGGTCTTTAGAAGCAGTTGATGCGTTCAAAATGCATGTTTTGGAGGTGCCTCAATCGGAGTGAAAAAAATGCTTCGAAAATTGGTTCAAGTGCATGCAAAAGTGTGTCGATCTTGTTTGTTTTCTCTATTCCCGAAATATAAAAGGCAACCCTCGTATATAGAGTACAATTTTTTTTACTAAAAAAGTACTCGAGTACTTGGCCAGCTCTGGTGACCACACACATCAGTTTTTGGCCGCCGTAAGATGGATAAGTGACGAGTATAAAACCATAAAGTGGGTAAAAATTTTCTAAATTATTAGAATTTCCAAAATTGTATAGGTTATAATGTTTTTGTTTTACATCTTTTTTAAGACAAAAGATATTAAGATATTTGTTATTTACAATAGACTTGCCATTTTGATAAAAAAATTGATTAAAACTTTATATAGGGTGTTTAAAAAACATGCGCCAATGCTAGGATGGAGATTCTTCATCCAAAAATAAGAAAAAAAGTTCATATAAACGTAATTTTTTGCAATTTTTATATTTTTTTATGATTAGGCCACTAAAAATACAACTTGTTTGTCTCTTGGGTTTTTTTTATATCTTACCTGGTTTTTGACAGAAAAATAAAAACCATATTATTTCATGACAAAACGCATATTTTGGACCTTTTTCCAGTCAAACAAAAACTACCTTTTATTATTTTTTAATAAATTAGGCCGTTTTGGAGAAAACTGAGAAAACGTATGCCAAAGTTCAACAAAAACGGGCAATATATATTTAAGATATTAAATTTAAAAAAAAAATCGTTTTTTTAACTCCCGCTCCGATTGTATTCGCAATTGTTACAATCTTATTCCTTCCCTTGTTTATATTTTTATTCCCTCACGTTTAACATTTACTCCCTGTGCTATTAGGGACGAAAGTACGTACTTTCGACCGAGGTAAACTTTCGTCACTGCTATTAGGGACGAAAGTAAGTACTTTCGACCAATGTATGAAGAAAAATAGTATACACCACACGGGCCAAACGTTGAAAACTCGGTCCTGCGCGTCATGATGCGCAGGGCCGAAAATTCAACTTTCGACCTTTGTAGTGTAATATACTATTCCCTCCCACTACCATGACGATGCTACAGTGTGATTGACTTTGAATGTAAACGTCAGATTTAAATTAAACGTCAGATTTATACACAGATTTATATAATTTTGACACGGGTATCCAAATTGTGTGTTTTTAAGCAAAAGTGAGCATTTATAGAGTTTAGCTTAAATAACTAGTAGGTTAGCGTACTAACTTAATTGGAACGACTTTAGGTATGTAAACGTCAGTTTTAACTTTTCTAAAAATTAATTAGCATCACTCGACAAAAAAATATAGTATTACAGACGTTGTGGAAAAATTTGCTGATTTGCAATTTTGTTTCAGTGCATTCTGTTTTTCAACATCATATTTACTAAATATTTTTTTATCAATTCAAAATTTATCTTATTGATAATTCTAAAAGAAAATACACATTTTAATAGAAAATTGTAACGGTTAAATCCCTAACAAAAAAAACCTAAATGATTTTAATGAATTAAATACAAAGAAAAATGATATACAGAAAAATCGTTTAATTTATGCAAAAAAATCATAATTAATCAAGATTACTTATTTTTTTCCTAAACTTCAAGAACATTTTCGTTGTCCTTTTGTTTCTGTCCTGGGGTATGTTTCTTGAAATTTGCGAAATTAATTTGTATAGAAAATAATTTGATTAGAAAACAATAAACCAATCAGAGCATTGGATTCTCTGTCGCAATCTATGTGCGATGGAATGCTATGCCGTGCTACGATCAGTTAATGATTTCCGATAGAAAACACTTTCTAAAGTCTCAAATTTTAAAAAGAATTCCCCAGAGCTGTATTTAGAAAATTATTATTTGTTACATTCCTACAATCTACATTAAATTTAAAAATTTGGGGTTGGCATTAATTAAAAAATTAACTGCGTTATAAAATGTTGTTTTTATGATTGCAAATCGGCGGGCATGCCGTGGCATTACCTCGTAACTGATATTATAAGAAAATGCGTTTTTAATGTTATGTAAAATAATCAGCTCCATCTATTAGTCAACTTATTTTTTATGCGCAACTTTCGGAATTATGCGTTTGCTTACAGTAAGGCTTTTACAGTTACGAGGTACTGCCGCGAATCCCTCAAAATGTAGTTTTGTGCTATTTTTTTCAATAAAAATTAATCATAATTTGGAAACAAAAATGGCGAAGTGAAAATAGTCTGTTTTGCTATTTTCAATCTGACAAAATATAAAAAAATGTGACTTGCTAACGAAATATTGATCATCGAGTTGACATTGACATCGCTTCCCAGTAGCACCAAATATTCATTAAATATGTATTTAATATTTAATGAATATTTAATATTTATTAAATATATGATAAATAGTTTTTTTAAAATACGTAGTAAATATTTAATAGATATTAATAAAAAAATATAGATTTTAGAATATATTTATTATATATATCCAATAAATATTATAAAAACATATATTTTTATAACTAATTAAAATATTTATATAATATTAAAAATTGTTCAAAATTAATGATTTCAAATATTATCTAAAATTATGAAGCGCCGTTTGTCCGTAAATTATTTTTGCTATATGAGGCCTGTCATAGCAAAACCGACAATCTCCACTTTTGGTCAAAAATTAGATTTTTGGCGGAGACTGTACTTCAACTAATTATCTATAAGATGATAAAGTTTATGTGCTGCAAAAGGAGCTAAATCCTGCTTTGCAGCAAAGTATACAATCTCCAATTCCACCATTAGAAATTAGTAATTTGTGTCACCTGACATCCTAACATTTGATGTTGTGACGTATTTTTGTGTTTTTTTTAATGGAACATACTGTTAAGTTCTATTGCAGTATATTTAAAATAGGTATATATACGTTTTATTGTTTTAAGAATTATAAACAAAGTTATCTTGTTTATTTTGTGCTATTATACCATAATAAGACGTAAAGGTAAAGCAAGAAAAGGCTGATAATGTCAAAACATTGCAAGTAAAACATTACAGAGCAAAGTGGGAAGAAGATGATGAGTTGTTGTACTATAAAAACTTTTTTGCACGAGGCAACCTGGTCCAGATTTTTGTGGTCCAGTTCAGAATTTTCCCACATTGATTGTATAGTTAAATTTAATAACCATTAAAGGAATGAAAATACAATTATTTTTTTGTTTATTTTTCTAAATCTCCTTAAACGTTTACAACAAAATGAGCAATCTCCAGCAATTCATATCAAAGTCAGCAATCTCCAATTTATAATTACAGATTTCACCTATACTATGCATCCTGGAGACCTTTTAGTTGGCTACTAGACTAACAACAACAATATTTCAATATAATATATAAAAAAAATTACAAATCTAGAATTTAAAATACCAAAATAAATTATCTCAATTTACTCAGTTTTAGTCTGGCGGGAGATTGTTGACTTTGCTCTGACAGGCCTCATATATAAGAATATTTTTTATATATAAACTTTAAATTTAATTTATATATATAGAAACTTTTTAGTTCAGATAATGCCGCTTGAGAATAAGGGCGCTTTGCGGTTATCAACTAAAAAGCACTGTTGCCAGAGTGTGCCAATGCAAAGTTTTGGTCAGTGATTCGGAATCACTGATTCCAACATAACGGATTTTTCGCCAGATCTAACGGAACAAAATGATGGCAAAAACTATAGTTATTGCATAAAGATATCTTTCATATATTAAACCCATATTATTTTTAAATATTTATGTAACATTTATTAGTAGTATGCATGTGATATTATTTTTATATATTAAATACATATTAACTTTAAATATACATTAAATCTTAATGTCTTATGGCGTTTTAGATATTACATAAATATTTTATTTTTATATTTAACTAATATTTGGTGCTACTGGTGCTTAAATTTAATTTATTTAAATGGTAATAAACAAACCTGCGTTAATATATTTAATGGTCTTTTCCAGAAAGGGTCCTGCAATTCTTTCAGGTTGCTTGTGAGTCGCGCAATTGCCGTGGCCAAGTTTACCGTAGTCTCCGTCGCCCCAACTATACACAATACCGGCCTCGGTGAGGGCCAACGTGTGGCCATCGCTGCCCTTCGAGCTGGATAATTTTTTCACGACGCTGTCAAGCAGCACTCGTTTTGGCACGGTTTGGTTGGAAGATTCTCCTAATCCTAGACGGCCGTAGCTACCCTTGCCGCAAGCGCTTACGTATCCGTCCCAGTGGATGGAAAATGTGCAGTATAGACCTGCTTCGATCTAAAAATATTATTCGTAAAAACAAAAAGACATATAAACAGCTGTTTCGTGTAATTAAGAACAAAAAACAGTCGAACTTCGATAACTCGATGTCTTGATAACTCGAATCAATTTGGATGGCAATAGCGCCAAGAGTGAGAAATATAGGTAATTTAATAACTCGAAGTCTACGTTCAGGCAAAATTAAAAACGGCAAGCCGCTGCTCTGAAACATCTTCTTGTTACCGAAATCTCGCGACGATTCGATATTTAATTTAATCAACGGCTCCATGATCCAAAGCGCTCAACTTAGCCTGAACGGACTGTACATGTATTGTATTCTTTTGATATATCGGTTTTTTCAAATATTAAGTGACGTCCTTATTGAAATGTCTTATTATTTCTTACTAGTGGCAGAGCAAAGGACAACCCAACATAAAGTGAAGTATTATTTTAAACATTATGTTTTAGTATTATTTTATTTGTTGACAACTTTAACACCCTGTATCTTAAAAAAACGGTAAACCTTCTGAAGTTTTATTTTGAGTTTTTAACTTCAATTTACCGCAGGAATGTACCCTATTTAATAAATATATAATAAATATAATATATTATATATTATACCCCCATTTATGTGGTGTTATTTCCGGACAACCTGTATATATATATATATATCCCGAATATTGTCAAACTGCAAAAGCAATGTATTGCTTTTTATTTTTATCTATTTGTTTTTTTTGCTATCTAAAAATGTTTAGGAAATAGTCCTTTGTATATTGTGATTACTTTTTAAAATGTTTGTATTTTTTTAAATCTTGTACTTGGAACAGCTCTTATTAAAATAAATTGAAGAAGAACACAAAACGAGTATTTCATATAATTTTTTAAATCATTCCATAACAAAATAAATAAATTTATCTATAAAAAAATTGTAAAAATCTTTTTCTAATTCCCATTACACGGTAGGGAGGTAAAAATATCACAGCCAAACGCTTGGACACGTAAACTTAATTTTTGGTCGTGGATCACAAATCTGTATAAGGTCAAAATTCAAAGATATTCAATTTTCAAGTTTTGGAGCATCTCATTAGGAATCACCCTGTATACATTTTTAAAAAATCAATTGTGCTGGACTCTCACATCAGTTTGAAATTAAAATAAAAAAACAAATTCTTGCAAAATTTGAGGTTAATTGATCAAAAGGAAGTTTTTTTTTAGATAATTTAGGAAATTCAAAATGTTTTTTGCTGTTTATTTTTATTGAGTATAATTAAGGATAATATATTATATTAAACAAAATAAAAAGTTTAGAAATGTTGGCACAAGCGGTGAAATATATTATTTTACAAATTATAATATACCAGTATACAGTGTGTACTAGGGTGATTCATTTCCGCAAAGTTTTTGTTTTTTTTCGGTGCTCAAGCAAAATATTAATCTGCATATAGAAAAAAACATTCTCACCAAGTTTGAGCTCTTAATATTAATTTTAAGTACTTACTATTTAAATTTAAAGTTTTATCGTTTAAAATGCATGTAAAAAATATATATTTTTTTTCAAATTTCTAATGCTTACCCACCTTTGACAATATTGCAAATCGGTTTAATACACCTTATGGGGAATTTCACGCTCTTTAAAATTGCTTTTGAGTTTTTTTTGTAACTCGCATTGGTTCACCAGTAGGAGTCGTCAAAGGACAGTTTTTGAAAAAATTAGTTTTTTTTATTTTTTCGAGCAAATCGCCAAAAGTAGTGAGAAAAAAGGGCTGATTCATAAAAAAAAAGTTATCCAACCAATATTTAATGAATTTACTGCCATTTTTATAACTGAAAACGTAAGAAATTGATAAATACCAACTCATAATGTTATTTAGATTGATTTTTTCTATTTATTATCATTATATTTCCCTACACTAAGAACTTTTTAAAATTATTATGATTTCTCACTCATAATGAATGTGAAAACAACACATAAATTCATAAAAAAACAACAAAACTTTAATCGGAATATAGGTACAGAAGGTTATGTTATTATGTAACCTATTTCAAATTTTGCTTCAAAAAATTAAATAATCTTCATTTATATTTTTTTGCTATATGACTGAAATGTTGAAAAATTGCAAAATCCACGTTACAATTTTCTTATTGTTTTTTTATGAATTTATCTGTTGTTTTCATATTCATTATAAGTGAGAAATCAATAATTTTAAAAAACTTCTAAGTGTAGGGAAATATAATGATAATAAATAGAAAAAATCAATCTAAATAACATTATGAGTTGGTAATTATCAATTTCTTACGTTTTCAGTTATAAAAATAAAATATATCAGCAGCTTTAAAAATAACTACTAATGTTTATATGTGAATTTTTATTTAGTCCAAATTTGGCGTTTTGATGGAAAAATAATTGTCAACTAATTTATCCATAGTCTTAAATTGGGACAAGTATGATAAAATGACCAAAGGACGAACAGTTTGCAAAAAATCTTTTGTTAGAAGAGTGTCAGGATGTTTCAGGAGCATTTAACATGCATTTTCCTCAAATATGTCACTTTGGTAGTTTTTAGAGACCAAATTCAGTGTTTTAGGCCATCTCAATGCCTGTTCTTTTCCCAGAAGTTTCACTAGTCCGTTCCAAGGCAAAAATTTTGCCTGGCAAAGGTGATGGCCAACTAGATTTTTTATTTACTCCTTGTTGATAATTCAATGTAAGCAACTGATGGTAGTATTATTGTTTGAGCGAATACCTCAACTGAACATACATTACTAAGGTACTCAATTTATTTAAGGGTCCTGCTTTTTTTAAATAGCTACATAGTTTTATTAATAGATAAATCATTTTCTCTTGTCCTTTCCTTTTTTTGTGATTTATGGTTTCGGCGATTAATGTGCAAAAACATCAAGTTTTTAAACAATTAGTAATTAAAAAAAATTATATCTACGCCAATGGTTGCGGTTGTTGAAGCATCATTTAATAGATCATTTTGCCGTCTTTAATTCATTATTAAACATTTTTTCTAAAGGGCTCAGTTTTAAAGAAATTCTCTAAAAATCTTAAATAAGTCACTAAATTACTAAAATTTAAAAAGAGGATCAACTACAATTTTAAAAAACATGTTTTTAAATTATAGAGAGGGTCCTTATTCCGATAGCGCATTCAGTTTTTGGCGTCATTTTTATGTGACCTATGACTCATTCAGGACCCCTGTATCCTGAAGATTTTCTTGTTCACTGATTAACTTTTGAAAATGCAATTTGAGTTAGCTTCACATCACTTCCTCTAAGAGCGTACGTTCTTCCAGTTGGTGTAACAGGATTCACTTGTGCTAGAATGTCCACAACTGAAACCCACACCTGCATGTCTAGGGTAAGAAAATGATGATGCTGGCCCACAAGGATGAGAAAAGTTATTTTCGCTTCGTCATGTTCTTCATCTTTTTCTAAAACATAGCCAAGCCACCAGTGTTTGTCATATACAGTGGTGACAGCCTGAAACGTCTTCTACCTTCAGTGTGTTCACTGGTTTAGCCATCCTCTCCCAACCCTGCATGTCATCTGAAAAGTGTTTCACTAGTAGTTCTAATATTGTGTTGGGAACGAATGCATGGAACTGTTGTGTTCCTTTAATGCATAATCCTCTTGAGTGGAAAAGTCAAAATCTACCTTTGGTATGTTTTCTACTGCCCATTCAAAGAGATCTTGTGGGGTTTGGATTTGGTTGTCATATGGCCTTTAGAAACTAACGCGAGCTGCCAGCCTTTTAACATAACCGTCTACTCCATCGCATGGGCCTTTCCCATGTGCTGTTGCTGAAAAGTGCCACTCGCCTTTTATGTTATAATCTTTCTCATGAAAGCAAAGGTTAAAGTTTTTCTTATTTTTATACTGAGCGGCCGAACCGTCAGAACAATAAGAAATCTTTCTTGAAAGCTTTTGAAATTTGTTTCTTAAATAAGAAATTAGCTTCTTTTAAAATGTATAAACAGCCACTGTGTTGTGCTGTAAGAAGTCTGAAATAATGACAAAGCTCAAATGTTCAATTTTGTCTTCTTGTTTGTAATATATAACAAAAGGATGTATCGTAATCTGTTGGCTTGTCCAGTGATAACTATGTGCTTCATCCTATATACTATAATTTTAGAAAAAATCACAAGTAACGACAAATTCTGAATCGTGAAGATTTTCTTTACTGTTGTTAAGGAATGCTCCTTGTTGCTTGGCGATAAAGTCATGCTAACCAAAGCGGACATCTTCCTACAAAATAAATCGATAAACTCTTCGGAAGTTTTTTCCAAGGTCTCCAGATTACAGCGGTCAACCGATACCCACTGTGGAAATTGAACTTGTTCAATAAAATTTTCATCAAAAGAGTCTTGTAACATTTTATGCATTTCAGTTACTCCAGGGCAATAGTCGAAATTTCCCACGTTGCAAGCTATTGATGATGGGTTACAAAGCATTTTTGCAATGCATTGCTTGTAATTTTTTTGGTTTCCATTTGTTAATATATTTAGTTGTGCATTTTCTATCATCAACTTAATGTTTTGAGTGCCGAACCTACTTTTCCGGCAAACTTGTATCATTATTTTTTTCGTCCTATCTGTAGAACATAAAAAGTTAGTTTTTAGATTTTAAAGAACCGATTCATCAATATCAGCTTCATTATCCGATGAAGAAGTTTTAGCAGCAACAAAAAGGTTACGTTTCACTGCTGAAGAGATTTTTTTCACTTTCTTTGTCTCATAGTGCTTAGATGTAATTTGTTTTGAGTCGATGGGGGACTCACCTAGCTCTTGAAGTGATATGTTAAGTAACTCAACAGCCGTTGAAGTTGAAGTGAAGGCAGGGTCATTGCCCTGGATGAGTTCCTCCCATCCAGAAGAATACTCAGCTTCAGCATTTTTAGCACTAGTACTTGGCTTGTTATTTTTAAGTTTCGTTACATGACAAATCATGGAGCCAATAGGCATTTGTGGAAATAATCCAGTCATCCATGCTGAGACTTTTCTCAGTTTTTTTCT